AAAATCGGAATTGAAATTTTTTACATTTCTCGACGTTTTGAAGGTTTCTGAACATTTTGGCATACCTTCAGAAAAAATGGATGTGTGTGTGGTGTGTGTATGTGTGTGTGTGTGTATGTATGGTGGGATACAAATTTCCAGTCACGTTTTTAGGGGCGCACGGATCAACCGATTTGAATGGTTCAAAAACATTCGATTCCTATTGATAGGGAAAAGAGCTGATTTAGTTTTTGGCAAAGGCAGGTCCAGCCGTTTCGGAGATACGGAGCAAAGAGTGCGGAAAATAGAAATCGAATTTTTGAGAGAACGGAGTATCCGATTTGAATGATCTAAAAAACATTCAATTAGCAATGATTGGGAGAAGTGTTTATTAGTTTTTGGGCAAAGGCAGGCCCAGCCATTTCGAAGATACGGAGCTAAATATGTAAAAAATTGCAGTTTTTGAGAGAACTAAGCGTCCGATTGAATGATTCAAAAAACTTTCTGCTTGTCTTAACAAAATAATTGATTTTGGAAAAAAAAATTTTTGTTCGATTTTTTTTAGTTTTTTGTTGAAACAAATAATTTCAACTTTGCAATTCAGTTTATATAATTCTTATAAATATTAGACAATGTTACAATATTTATAATAATCTATTTGAAAACATTCAGTATTCCTCGAACACTTCGTTACGGTACGGGAAGTTCCAGCAATTTGCCTTAAGGCACGATGCCACCCACCCCACTAGTTTCTTTTTTACATGAAGGGCCTCTTGTCCCTTTTTCATTGTAAAGTTTACGTACTATGTCACAGGAGTTGCGGCATCCGAGTGGAAAGAATTAATAAAAAACTAGATTTATTTATATTATTCAGTTATTAAAATAAAATTAAAAAAATACACATATTGGCAATAAAGTGAATAAAACAATATGCTATATAACCTTCTTATCAGTTCACCAGAAAATAATTCTACTCGTACAGGTATTGTATAATAAAATAACACAAACAGAGAAATGGTCCGCGCGACTAAAATGATATTTGGGTGAAATTTAATCTGGAAGCTAAGATAGTATTATATAAACTTTATACAATAATCTTATCACAAAAATTATAGCAATCTAATTTGGAATTGTAGAATATGATTGTACTAAAATTATGAATAAGAATTGGAAAATAATTTAATTAAAGTATAATATGAATAAATTTCACTAATAATTTAATAATTATTTATATTATACAGGAAATATTCAAGATGAATGAAATGTGATTTATGTTCGTTTGTCATTGAAATATATTGACTTTGTTCTTAATGGATAATCGCTAATAAGCAACCATGTGATGCATATATTGAAAAAGTCAATATTTTGTTATTGTTAGTTAAATGCATTATGGATATTTTGCAGTTTTAAAATACGATTAATACGATAACACTTTTCATTTCTTAAACTAGAAAAACCTATATAAATGTTATCAAGTTTACGTATTTTCATTGGTGTTCGGTTTCTTACTACTGTTCATTAAGAAAATAATCAAGAAAATTTGAACAGAATTATTTCGAAATTTAATCGACTCGCAGTATGTTCTTACAATGTCAAGTGTAAAATAATCAACTCAATAATCATCAACTAAAATAATCAGAAGAAAAATAATAATTTTCACAATTTTTATCATGAAGATAAAATTTACATTTCTGTATTTCGATATAATACCATTTTCCATATTAATTCTACTTAAAAAGAACATAAGAAAAGTAGTTTTATATATGAATGAAAGATTTTTTTCCAGATCATTTTTGTTTAATGTTATTAAGGGACAAATTACAGGAAAGAAATGACGAAATAATAACACAATTTAAATTTAAATATATGAGCTAATTAGTGATAGTATAAAAGTGAATGCCTTTATAGATATGCCTTTATAATCTTTATATAAATGTTTTTCGAGAATAAAAAATACAACTAACTAAAACAACAACCAAAAGACATAAATTTCATAATTTTATCATAAAGATAAAATTTTCAGTTAAAAATAATTAACTGTTAAATAGGTAAATTTATTAATCAATAAAAATTTTATTTAAAAATAAAATTTCCAAATTTCATACCTAAGAACATAAAAAAGTATGTAGTTTTATGAGATTTTTTTCGGTCATTGGTAATTATTAAAGAAGAAATTATTTGGCTTTTTATTCAATATATAAACATTTAATTCCGAATCAAAATCAAAAAAATATATTTTTCTTTAAGTAATGTACGTCCATATCATTGGGTTATTTACAAACTTCTACCCGCAGGTTTATTGTTTAACATGCATGAAATAGGTAAGATTATAATATATACAATAGATTTGTATGGTAACAAAAAAGAAATCTGGTGAAAAATTTCCAAGAAAATACACACCTCAGTAAATGAGAAATAATTAAAAGTTACAAAATTTTCCTCAAAAAAATCCACTAGGATTGTTATTATTGTGATTTTAAAGGTATCATAATTATTAAGGTTTCACAATTTAGTATTAATTTGTCACTTCAGTTACTTCAATTGTTGCATTTACAATTACAATACATCTTTAAATCATTTGTCTATGCAATAATTATAAAAATACATGATAATATTTTTTGTTCTTAATGATATATCATCAAAGAAAACCACGGATAAACTTTCCCATAATGAGCTTTTCCATCTTACCTATTAGAGTTGTTTTTCTGAGCTTTTCGCAGCGGTCGAGGGCAAACCGCGCTGAAAGCACTGCGAACTCGCGCGCGGATTTTTGCGGCGCTAGACGGGGTGGTCATGACCACACTGTCCATTTTTCCGTAAAATGATTTAAAAATCCTAACTGGCGATAGTTTCAACTGGCATTTATGTAAGTATCTATTATCCAGATCCAAACTTTCTATGCAGGTTTCAGCTAATATCTTGTACAACGAGATAACAAAATAAAACTCTATCCAGAGCTAGTTGATTACATCCAAAATGTACATAGGTATATTTATATACATATGTTTATATGCGCCGTAACGTGTAAGATCATTTCTAAAATTAGATTTTTACATGTTTTACTCTCGTCGGATGTAAATGCACGTACGACGTCTGTATTTTGAAGTAACACCCGATTGAATTGTTGCTACCGGCATTTGTTCATGATAGCTTATGTAATTCTTTAAAAACTATAAATGTTTATGAAGGAAACGTTGTGAAGTTCTGTATGCAATCACTTTTGTCTCCATCTCAGAGACAATTTTCATTTCATGAGGGTGGTAATCGATAATTTTGATGTGCACTAGACTTTTTTTCTATTTCTTCGCATACAACCCTTCTTCAGCTAGAATCACCGTGTTTGTCATGAGTTCAAATAAAACACAACGCTGTTTTTACATAACATCTTATTGCATAATTTATCACAGTGATTTCTAACACTTCATACATATCCATACACATTAAGACACACTGAGACACAGCACGTGGACTTATGTAAACAATAAAAACAACATCAATTAACAATTAAACAAGTTGAGTATATAATTGTTGAATTTATCAAATAATAAAAACTTGTACAAAGGCATGTGCTTGAAATCCATGAGGTTAGGTATAACAGTTTTGAACACTAAAGATTAAAAATGTCGCAAACGACAGCTGAATTGTTTATTTACGTATAAAAGTTTAAACTGGCGAGAACGAATCGACGATATCCTTCCATTGCTGAACGCAAGAGAACACTGAACCAAAAATCGGGCGAGCAGAACGTCGGACTCCGCTTGAACGTCGCGCGATCGTACGTGCTCGTGAATTCTCGATCTATGGGACGATCACTCAAAACAAAAGTAGCCAGCGCTGATACTGCTTTGTTCCGTTGCCATTTCGCTGGCAAATCTTTACCTGTCGGCCGCCGTCACGCGAAGAGCTTGCGTACGTACTTAACACCGCCGTTAATTTTAAATTTTAACTAGCTGTAAGTGGAATTCTGTCTTAACGCAATTAGGGCATCGTGCCTTAAGGCAAATTGCTGGAACTTCCCGTACCAAAAATTATTATTTTTTTAAAAACGATTAAGATTTTTGAAAAAAATTTAATTAAAAAAAAATAGATTTGAGAAACTACAAATTCGACAAAAAATTACTTTTTTTTGAAAAAAAAAATTTATATGAAAAAAAAATTTTTTTTTGAAAAAAATTTTTTTTTTTTGGATACAAAAAATTTTTTTGAAAAAAATGTTTTTTTCATTTTGACATATTTTGGAAATTCTGAACTTTTTTTCAAAGCAATCGCACTGCTTGAACTGCATAGAGACGAAATGTCAAAGCGCGCATGTGCCGCGCCGCCGTCAAACGCATAAGCATTGGTACGGAACCCATAAAAATGTAAAAAAAAAATATACTTATTGTTAAAATCTCTATAAAATATCTGATAATTTGATGTGCATATGTCTAATGATAATTTTTAACCGCCGAATGGCATTATTTTTTACTTTTTTCATTAGATCTCCGAAACCGCTAGACCTGCCTCCATGAAAATTTGATAATTCTACATCTTGTCAATACAAGTAAAATGTTTTTTGAATTATTCAAATCGGACGCTCCGTTCTCTTAAAAACGGAGGTACCGTTCTTGGCACTTTTTGCACCGTATCTTCGGAACGGCTAGACCTGCCTTTGCCAAAAACTAATCAGCACGTCTCCTTATCAATGCGAATCGAATGTTTTTTGAATTATTCAAATCGGTTGATCCGTGTTCCCGAAATCGTCGACGAAAATTTGTATCCGCACATACATACACACACATACATACATACATACATACATACATACATACACACAAAGTTACGACAAAGCTGGAAATACGACGAGTGAACTTGACCAAAGTCACATCAAGAGGACAACGAGCGGCCTTTTGTGAGATAGACGAGGCTAATGCAATCAAAGCCCTAAATGGGGCCCGCATAAGAATTGGGTGGGTTAACTGTCGCATTCGCCCAGTTGTTAAAGTAGCCCGCTGCTTTAGATGCCTCGGTTTCGGACACCAAACGCATAAATGCGGGGGACCAGACAGAAGCAAGTGTTGCTACAAATGCGGCGGGGAAAATCACAAGTCTGTAGACTGCGCAGAAAAGCCAAAATGCTTTCTATGTACAGTAGACAAAGAAGATCGAAACAGCGGGAGCCATGTCGCCGGATCCGGTACCTGTAAAGCATTCCGTGTAGCACTTGCCGAAGCCACGAGAGAACAGAAATGACGCGATTTCTACAAGGTAATCTGAACAGATGTGCCTTGGCGCAGAATCTACTGCGCCAACGTATTTTTGAAGATGAGATCGATATCTGCCTTATCTGCGAGCAATATATGAATATTCAGAATAAATCATGGTTCGCAGATAAATCTGGCACGGCAGCAATATGGATCACAAACTCAAAGAAGATCACCATCAATGACAACGGAAGCGGCGAGGGTTTCGTCTGGATCAAGACTCCCACGACCTACTGTGTAAGCGTCTATCTCTCACCAAATGAAGGGATTAGCGTATTTCGCCAGAAAATGGCAAGCATAGAAGACACTCTCGGCAAATTTGACGGGGAAGTCATTGTAGCTGGTGATTTCAACGCGAAATCGGCAGAATGGGGGGCCGAATACTCGGACACTAGAGGAAATGACGTGGCAGACTTTGCTGCAAGATTAGACCTTACTGTGTTAAATACTGGAAGTATTACAACCTTTAGAAGACCAGGGTATCAGGAATCTATTCTCGACATTACGTTTGCCACTCCAAGGACGGCGAACATGATTGGAGACTGGACTGTATCTGAAGAGTATAGTGGCAGTGATCACCAACATGTGACATTTAGTATTGGATCCGGTCCGACTCGACCAAGCAACTTTTGCAAACGAAGGTGGAATGCCAAGAAGCTTGACCAGGAAGCGTTGCGAGCAGCCCTCGAGCAAAACGCATCTACTCTCCAAGCTGATCCAAAACCAAGTACCCGCAGAGAAACGGAAGAAACGGTTCTTAAAACTATGAACGCTATTGTCACCTCATGTAACGCCTCTATGCCACGACCAAAAATCAGCGTGTGCACAGTCCAGCATATTGGTGGTCATCAGAGATAGCAGAACTACGGAAAAGATGCCACGCATTACGTCGCCGCGCCACAAGAGCTGCAAAACGCTCCCCCTACCAAGATTTGTATACAAACGAGTACAAACAGGCAAAAAAAAGCCTAAATAAAGCCATAAAAGCAGCTAAAGCTGGATTGTGGAAGGAAATCTGCAATGACCTTGACAAGGATCTCTGGGGCAAAGCCTATCAAATCGTTACAAAACGACTTGGTAGAGCTTTACCAGAAGCTCCAAAATCTCCTGCTCTGATGAATTCTATCGTAGCGGAACTATTCCCTAAACATCCGCCACGGAAAAGGAGACAATACGTGGAAAACAGTGAAACTACGCCCTTCACTGTCAAGGAACTCCAAGACGCGGCGAAAACCATAAAAATTGGCAAAGCACCAGGCCCTGATGGCATCCCAGCCTCAGTGATCAAGAATGTAGCCTTGGAATTTCCGTATATTCTTCTGAACGCCTACAATGCCTGTCTGGCGACCGGCACCTTTCCTACGGTTTGGAAGCGGCAAAGATTGGTCCTAATAGACAAAGGTAAGGGAACCCCTGTAACGCCATCGTCGTTTCGACCACTCTGCATGTTAGACATCGCCGGCAAACTGCTTGAGAAACTTATTCAATGCAGATTGCGCAACGACATTGAATGCGCCGGAGGTTTTGCTAAGAACCAACACGGATTTCAAAAAGGACGATCGACGATCGGCGCGATTAGGAAGGTAACGGAAACAGCAAGAGAAGCATGGCGTGGTAGTCTTAAAGCTCGTAAAGTGTGTCTCCTTCTCACATTCGACGTTAAAAACGCGTTTAACAGTGCGAATTGGGAGGATATTTTACACGCCCTAGAGCATAATTTTGACGTAAAGCCAGAAAATCTAGGATTAATAGACGACTACCTCGATGGGAGAAAGTTGATAGTGGAAACGACGGAAGGTCATCAAGAACACGAGGTTACAGCTGGGGTACCTCAAGGCTCAATCTTAGGAGCCGATTTGTGGAACGCTGTCTACAACGAGCTCCTGGAGATCCCCTTGCCGAAGCAGGTGGAACTCACGGGCTTTGCGGACGACGTCGCAGCCACAATCGTAGTGGACAGCATTGAGGAGGCTGAACTACTCGTTCGAGAGACCGTCGACACCATAGAGACCTGGCTTGAGCAACACCACCTAAAACTCGCCAAACAAAAAACGGAGATGGTTGTCTTGACCCGACAAAAATGGTTTCCAAAACCATTCACCGTAGACGTGGGAGAGACAACTTTGACGTCGACAAGGGCCTTGCGCTACCTGGGAGTAATGATAGATGAGAAGCTATCCTTCCGTGAACATCTCGATAGTGCATGCATAAAAGCTAGCAAGACAGTATCCAACCTGTCAAGGATTATGGCTAACTGCATGGGACCACGAACCCGAAAGCGACGAGTCTTGCTTGAGGTAGTCCATTCTGTATTGCTATACGGAGCGGAAATATGGGCGGATATCCTCAAGCAAAAGACTTATCGGCGCAAAATAGCGGCAGTGCAACGACGAGGAGCTCTGAGAGTTACCTGTGCCTATCGCACGGTCTCAGAAGCAGCCGTACTGGTAATAGCAGGAGCCACACCGATTGACTTGCTAGCTTTCGAGAGAGCAAAACTCTACGACGCTAAATTAGGTGGCGAAAATTCCACAGAAACAAGGTCGAGAATTAAAAATGAAACGTTACAAGAGTGGCAAGATCGGTGGACGTCAGGAGAGACGGGCAGATGGACGGCGCGCCTGATCCCAAACATTAGCGCCTGGCTCTCTCGAAATACGGCGACACAGATTTCTTTCTGACCCAGCTACTGACAGGACATGGACAGTTTAATGCGTATCTTTTTAAGATGGGCCTGCATAGCACGCCAATGTGCAAATACTGTCCAGAAAAAATCGACGACGCTGAGCACACGTTTTTTGAATGTGCTCGGTGGAAGGAATATCGCAACAACGCCGAGAACATTATAGGCACCAGGCTCACCCCCTCAAGTCTTGTGACCTATATGATGAAACAAGAAGAAAACTGGTCAGCTGTAGCAGCTTATGCACAGCATCTTTTGAAGGCTAAAACCGGAGAAAGGGACCAGTAGTCGGAAAACAGGCGTCGCAAGGCGCAGCACGGACTGGATTGATGTAATGCTAACGCGGTTCCAATCCAGTCCTCTCCGTACCATCTGCGGGGAGAGGGGAGAGGAGTGTTTTTTTTTAGTGGGTAAAAATCTCCACACTACTGTCCGTCGTTGTCCGCTGTAGGATGGACAGTGGAGTATCAACGATGGCGGTGTCTTATGAAGATTTTTTTTTCGCACCTCTATAAAAAAAAAAAAAAAAAAAAAAAAAAAACATACATACACACACACACACATACATCCATTTTTTCTAAGGTATGCCAAAATGTTCAGAAGGTTTTGAAACGTCGAGAAATGCAAAAATTTTCATTTTCGATTTTTTTGCGATTACTATAACTTACCCTACGGGAAGTTAACTAGCTGTAAGTGGAATTCTGTCTTAAGGCAATTAAGGCATCGTGCCTTAAGGCAAATTGCTGGAACTTCCCGTACCAAAAATTATTATTTTTTTA